GGTGACCTCGAGGTGTCCCTCCCCCCGTCCCTCGGAGGTTGGTTTCGGCAAATACTGTCTCTCACTATGGTAATGATATAGTCTCTACGACATACTCTTGGTTACAATCAACCATTTAACGTATTAGCTATTTAGATAAAATCATTGGAGTTGTTACCTTAATACTAGTCATCTTTACCGGTACTGTACCCTGGAAATTTATATGACATTTTGATTGTCCAAACGAAAGGTTTTGATGGTTCGGGTGTACAGTTCATAATGGACACTCTCATGGTCCAAAGAGATTTTCGTGATTACAGGGCTCTGTTAGGATCACACAAATCAATATCAGTCATATTTATATTCAAGTCTAGAATGTTAGGTACAGCCACAACTTCGGTGCCATGGTGTTGTACCGTAGACAGCCCCAGGTCAGAGAGGAGACCATACCGCGACCACTGTAACCTGGCCGCCTAGGTCTGGACCTCGCGCCGGACTCAACCTTCCCCCTGTCTCTGTCTGCCCAGAACCCCGGCGTGAGCACACTCTGCCCCTTATGACACCGATGACACTGCCACAGACAGCAGACAAAACACCTGGAGGGTATATCAACTACCATTTTCATGATCATAATTGAGTGGGACTGACAGCGAGACACAGCGAAACCCAGCCCGAGCACACACACACACAACCACAGCCTGGCTGTGAGTTTGTGTGTGTGCTCACATACAGACTCACAGCCTCGCCCCGCCGTCTCAGCCTGAGAAATCCACGGAGCTGCAGCTGAGAAAAGATTGAGTGTGTGTGTGAGGAAGTCTTAACGTAACGGCTCCGCGGACGTTACGTTAAGTCACTATACCCAAATACGTCACTATACCCAAGAAGAAAAAATGGAAAAAGAGACATCTCCAGCGAGGTGTTCTGAGGCAGCATAGACAGGTCTTTTCTGTGTTAGAGTTTTACTCGCCACAGGGTGTACTTTGAGGTTTGTGACTCTGCAGACCGTTTACATGCATAAAAAACTACATAACACACAAGGGGACGGGTAAGAACCAGAAAAGCTTGACATGGGACCTTTAAAGAAACTAAATAACCAGCACAAAAATGATGTCTTATTTTCAACATGTATTTTTCTTGTGCAGCGTTTGGACTGAGAGGAACTCACGGTCATATCGACTTCTACGCCAACGGTGGAGTAGACCAACCAGGGTGTCCCAAAACCATATTTTCAGGTAAACACACACACTAAGCAATCCAACACACACAGCCATGAATCACCGGACACACTCACACTGCAGTTGTGTGTCTCCCTCAGGTAAAGCGTACTTTGTGTGTGACCACCAGCGCTCCATGTTCCTCTTCCTGTGCGCTCTGAATCGGACCTGCAGCCTCACCGGTTACCCCTGCTCGTCCTACAGCGACTTCCTGGAGGGCCGCTGCCTGCAGTGTGAGGCCTTCAAACCCGCACCCTGCCCCGTGCTCGGTACGTGCTGAAACCAGAACCAGAACCAGGTTAATCACAGACTACATTCACACATCAAAGGAATTTACTTTGGTGTCAAACTAAAATAATTATGAAGGTGTAAAAAAGGGGAAACTATAGAACTATTTTAAAAACGATTATGTAATTAACAAATAAAAATAAATGTTTTTATTTAATCTATTTTGAATAATTTTGAAGTTTTGGGTTTATCTGGATTGAGTCATTTTACTTTTAATAATTTAAGTGCATATTCGTAATTATACTAACAAACTTTTTACTCTAAAAACGAATACATATTTTGTACTAATAGCTTTTTACTTTTATTAGTTAATTGACTTTGAATAATGATGAGATTTTGTTTCCTCCATTAAGTATTTATTTAGGCACTAAGAAAAAGAGGCACTTTTTTGGTAGTATTTAGAGAAACTCATCCGCCTTATTCTCTCTTGAGCCTTTAAAAACTCAGAAAAATACTATTTATTTATATAAACTGTAGAAAAATTGAATATGTGCAGAATATCAGAATTTGGAAGTCGAAGAGCGGAGTTTCATTGTGCAGAAATGTGCAACAAATATAGAAAAAGTAGCTCACCAAGTGTGCACTAATGTAACATTTAATGCTAATCTAAGCTCTTACTGTGATTAAATGGAGTTTGTGTTTCTTTCTGTTTCTACCTGCAGGGTATGATATGAGTCAGTGGAGAGACACGCTGCTGAAGCTGGGGCAGACCAGAGCCTTCTTCAGCACCAGCAGCACGCTGCCCTACAGGAGTGAGTCTTAAAAACATCATGCACCAAGCGCACTCACTTAAAAAATAACATTGCTATAGCTTCAACCGACATACAGAAGAATCATACTTTTATGAGAGAAGGAATGTAACAATAAACTGTCTTTTCATGCTATTTACGGTTCAAATGTATCTGGTACCTTTTCTGCTTTTATTTCAACTTAATAAATGTTTTCTGTGTGTCAGAGATGAGCTACAGAGTGGACATGGTGACCTGGAACCAGTACCTGCGCTGGGGTGTCGTCTACATCCGTCTGCACAGCGGGAAAAACTTCACTGAGGCCCGGATAGATCAGTGAGTCAGGGAAACATCTGGATGCCAGTTTAACCTGTAGGAACATCTGCACAAAATAATGTTATACTCAATTCCTTCCCTCTCTATTCACAGTAAGCAGCTCAGGTTCGAGCAGTACACTTCCTCACGGCTACTGGCCCAGTTCGATGAGGATCTGCAGCAGGTGAACAAGATCTCGATGAGAATCAACACCGGGAACGTGATCGGCCCCCGGTACAAAATCAGACTTCTGAGGATACGCTTCACACCGCTGGAGCGCCCAGAGAGGTCAGAGACACGTTTAGCGAAGTTTGGACATGTCGATGATTTATTGACTTAGATGAGGGATGATAGGATTGAGATAATTGTTTTACAAGACCAAATATTGAGTTCAGCATACAATAGTCATCAAATTAAGCTTAGACAGATTTTTATTTTCTTAGTAGTCGAAAGCTGATTTATCCCTAAAATGTATTTATATAAAATGATAATATTTTATGGTTACCATTACTAATTACAGTCACACAAGATTTAACGAAAAAAAATTGTTTTAGTTTTATTTAGTTTATCAAGTCGTACGACCACATAAGATTGTACTTATTACTTACTTAACATATAAAAAAGAGGACGATTTTTTGTGCATTTCCAAAATAAAGTCAAATGTTGGAAGAAGGATAAAATACCTTTTGGAAATGAGCAAAACAAAATGGTATTATCCATCCATCCATCTTCTCCCGCTTATCCGTGGTCGGGTCGCGGGGGTATCCAGAGAGCCCCAAACTTTCTTTTCCCTGGCAACATCAACCAGCTCTGACTGGGGGATCCCAAGGCGCTCCCAGGCCAGCGAAGAGATATAATCCCTCCACCTGGTTCTAGGTCTACCCCTTGGTCTCTTCCCAGCTGGACGTGCCTGGAACACCTCCCTAGGGTGGCGCCAGGGTGGCATCCTAACTAGGTGCCCGAACCACCTCAACTGGCTCCTTTCGACGCGAGCGGTTCAACTCCGAGTCCCTCCCGGATGACCGAACTTCTCACCTTATCCCTAAGGGAGACACCAGCCACCCTGCGGAGAAAACCCATCTCGGCCACTTGTACCCGCGATCTCGTTCTTTCGGTCATGACCCATCCTTCATGACCATAGGTGAGGGTAGGAACGAAAATGGCGCGGTAGACAGAGAGCTTTGCCTTCTGGCTCAGCTCCCTTTTCGTCACAACGGTGCGGTAAAGCGACTGCAGTACCGCTCCCGCTGCTCCGATTCTCCGACCCATCTCACGCTCCATTGTTCCCTCACTCGAGAACAAGACCACGAGATACTTGAACTCCTTCACTTGGGGTAAGGACTCATTCCCTACTTGGAGTGGACAGTCCATCGGTTTCCTGCTGAGAACCATGGCCTCAGATTTGGAGGTGCCGCAGAATCGATGGAAAAATCTGTTAGTCTTGGAGTGTCAATGTTGAAGTGTGGTTAATTATGTTTGATGTAAATTCGACACTGTTTGTATGGCGTCGCAGTGACAATTTCGATCGCTCGTTGTAAAAAACGTAACTAACTAAGAAATCCAACTCTTTGAACCAATCTTTCGTGACTTTGAACTCGTATTCACATATTATGTAGAAAAATATTTAGTAAAAAACACATCTGGTTAAAGATGTCGTTAAGGATAACACATTCAAAAGGTCGCATTTGTTTATGTTCAACAATGTATCTAATTGAGTATCGAAGGTTTACTTGTTCATAGTGAGTCAAATAAATTGAATCGAAAATGAAAAGATTGGTCATTTCTTTTATTCACAAAGACTAGCAGACAAGGTTTTTTGCAGACACAAAGGATTGGAGACTCTAATTATGTAACCGTGACAAACACAGACTATCGTGTTACGGAACTGTAACCGTTTTTTACGTAATCTTTCAGTTCCCCATAGAACGCTAATTTACGCAGACGTTACTGCCAGTGCGAGTCGTCGCTGTGTCATTGTACGGTGGCAAGTAAGAGTGTTCGCAGTCTGTTACGTGAAACACGATATAAAATTATTGTCATTTATAAACAGACAGGGGTCCACGCGCCGCCTTAGTGCATCGCTAGTCTTTTATTTGGGGAGAGAAAAAGTAGGGCATCGGGTTTAGTGAAAATTTGTTGCTCGGTCCTATGTCTAAAACCGGCTAGACTGCAGTTAGCATGCCGCCTAGGGTGTCTTCACGATAGTTTTGTTTACGGACTGCACAAAACCTGTCTATTATAGCAGAACAAATAGTAAATCGTTCCGGAGCGATCGTGTGAGTCTCGGATTGACATGACCTCTCGGTGTTACCCACAAAATTTCGTCGCTTTATTTTTTCCTTGAGTGGACAACACTATCTTGGGTGGGCGTTCGTCTTTTGTTCGTAAACGTCTATTGACAAAGTGCTTTATTCCTTTGAAAGTTACACAAATCTTGTCCTACTCCGCAAAATTAGGTGTTCGTCTTAAATTATTGAAATAGGGCCATCTTTAAGCTAGTCCCATGAAATCTGAGTGCGAGGAGAATATAAATAAAAAAATTGATTCCTGGTGTTTAGGGCAAAGAGATTGTCCTCGACTGTTTTCCCATTACTTTACTCGTTCATACTCCGTACCGATGTTTACCCACTAGACAAACCTATAAAATCTGTCTTTTTGAAATGTCTGTACAAAACATATCATACCGGGATGTTATATAAAAAGGTATATCGTAGCTTATCCAGGTGATTAAAAGTAGTCTAAGTCTAAAAAAAAAAAAAAAAGATTAATAATAATAAAAAAAATTTATTACTCCGTGTGACATGACTCCGGGCCTAATTCTAGTCCAACTGTCAAGCCAGGCCTATGTTATGGAACCTACGGTTCAAAAATCTCTTCGACAGTATCTTCTTGTCTTTTTGACACATTCACAACTGAAAATTTAGTCGACAGATTTAGTTGTCCATGAGTGGACAATTTTTTTCGGGCGTTCGAGTTCCCCCTTCGTTTCGGAATGGTACAAGAGACGGTCCTACTGACGAAGACTAATGAGCCGTGTCAGACGCTAAATCTTCTAGCGCGTCGTTGCGTCCTCTTTCTGATATCGCATCTAAAGCATAGACAAATTTGTGTCGTAGGTGTATATAGTTAGACACATTTGCTTCGTATAGTGCCCAGAGAGTCAAGACGAATTATATTGACCGTCATACTAATTTTCCACTAAAACTGTGAAGACTCGTTATTCGAAATGTGCTGTACAAGAACATATGGATACCATGCGAAGATGTTGTTTACTTCTGTATTATCGGCGAGTATAATTATAACGTAGTCTATGTGTGCATAAGGCTTCAAACACTGTACCAAGCATCTATAAAATAAACAACGTGAATATTCTAAGACAGCCTGCCTACCAGTGTCATAACTCCAAGCAGTTTGCTGAATTGTCTTGGTTCATGCTCAGCCACGACCTCTAGTCTCCTGGATTCTCAGCTAGTGTGACCCACGATTGCTGTCTGAAAATACAAGAGAGGTTCATACTACAGCTTTCCGTGTCGTCACCGATTAGCCTTTAAGTCACGATCTTTTCTACTTTTCGCAACTTCTACAAGGAAACGTGAATAATGTGTCAGTACGTGACCTAACTCTCTATGTCTTCACAAGGTCAAAATACATTGTCCCGTAGTTTCCCACATACTGACTTGAATGGTCTACGATAGTAATGATGGAGCGTGTAGTTGTCTACCTGCTGGACTCGTAAAGGTCCTTGTTTCGGAAGTGTCTACCTCCCAACCATCTCGTCTCTACACTTCGAGACCACCTCAACTCGTTTTCCTGTCATCATACCAGCCTGTAGAGGGTTGCGAAGCACTGACATAGCACTTCAGTCTCTAGTGCACCCGATATTGGTCTCACCACCCATGTGAAATAATTATGTGACCGTAGACTCAGTAGTTTACTGGTCGATAATGAGAACGAGTAAAGGGCCCTCAAACTGAGATCTCCATCTGAGCTTCCTCCCAGTCAGGCAGGTCCGAGGAATCAGCTGGTAACGATAGAGTCTCAAACTCCTCCCTTGTGAGTAACGCCTAAGGCAGCGACCAGCACGCCTTGCGTGGCCTAGTCGAAAGTGAGAGCGTTCCTAGGACCTCCGGCCAGGACCCTCAATACGAATAGGTCAATGTACCCAAGACATCTGAACCCTTCCGGCATACTGGACACTTCCACTCTGGGTCCGTAGTGACACCCCTCTCTCGGTACAGCCGGTGACATTACCCACTACAGCAGATGAGTCCCGGTAGTGGTTAGAGACATGAGTAGTTCGCTCTCGACACAGGCCCAGGAGCCGTCATTTCCAGCCTGGGTAAAGGCACTCCCAACCGGAGGCGTCCGACGCGAAACAGGGTGGTTAGACAACAGTTATATGGTAACCTAAGCCTAAAGGTCCGCATCAACCACCCCTTCCCCAAACGTCAAGCCACTGATTCCTAACTGGTGACGAAAGAGACGTCTACTACACCAAGACTACCGAAGTAGCCCAGCGCTGGGAACGTCGTGAGGAGTGACTAGCCAAGCGTTGGCTCACACTTCGCC